TGATGACTGTAAATTTTTTTAAGATTAGCATATGGAAATACCCATTTAAATCATTTTTCAAGAGGAAGAAATTTGTATCTAAGAACTGGTCAGCAGATATTTTATATAAAAAAGGTATATGCTTTTGTAAGAAAATAAAAAGGTATAAATGATAAATTGCTTTTGAATAGCAGCCAGGCCCTCAAACTGGTCATAAATGATGGATTTTGGAGCATAAAGCAATGATCTAACTTATGGACTTCACAGGGACCTTCTACTACAGGATATTGCAGGTCCTCATAAAGTGGACAGTGGTAGCGGACAGAAGCCAGCTCCTCGGGGAATGGAATCTCTAAGAAGGAAGAGGCATTCAAAGCCTTTTTAAATTGGAGACTGGATTGACGTAGGCAAATTTCTAAGAGAATGTTTGACAATGTCAAATGTGTGTGAGGAAAGAAGCCTGATATTGGAGACTCAGCTATTCATGAGTCAGAGTTAAAGAGAGGAAAGTTTTAATTGCCCTGGAATGTCTTCTGTCATTTGAAACGAGCTGGACTACACAGTTTCTAAATAATCAGATGGTAAGCCAAACCTATGGAATGACTTTCAACCTTTGATTAAAGAAATGAGTACAGGTCATTTAGAGAAGGTCGTGAAGACAGAACAAGATTTTCCGTGACACAAATAGAACACAAAACAATTGAAAATGAACTCAACAGCAGTGCTGAGATTAACAAAGATTAATGAACTAATAGTTCATTTGAAGCTTTTCTTGTGATTCTGAAGACTAAGTTTATCAAGGGAGCCTCAGAGGAATTTCTAGGTCATGTGATGAGATTTCAAGGTCAGATGAAAGCAAATACAATGAAATGGCTCTTAAGTTCACTTTCAGTGTTTCCAGTTTCTTCTATATTTCTTTATACTGAAGTTTAAAACAGTCAATATTTATTTTTTGCCAAGTTTTCAGTCACTTATAGGGCTAAAAGTAAAGCATTTTCCCTTTGTTTATGTCTCCTGGTAAGTTACTTCAGCCCATGCAGTGAAATAGTAGCTTACAATTTTGCTTCTCCCCCTTTTCCCCCCAAATCATTCCAGTTGGTTATTAATCTTTGTCTCCTATTAAAATAAACCTGGACACATAAGCTCACATAAAAGTTATGCATATTATTATTTTAAGATCTAAGTAATGAACACTTTCTATTTCAGTTCATTGTTCCACAAACTTACTTGCAATCTAAATGTATAATATTGTACAAATTTTCTTTATTTCTTTATTTCTATTTATCACCAGTGTATATGTAGGCTACTCAAATATAAGCTGTTTGTTTCTGTAAATTGAGAAACAGAAGATCCTGAGAAGTAACCCTAGAACTTTATTTTCTCTCAGTAACCTTCAGTCCTTGAGAAATAGAGACTTATAGTAAAAAGCTATTGATTCCAAATTATATCTCTTTCACCACTCTATTTAAAATTTTTTAAAATTATTATTTTATTTTACAATTTTCTAGTGAAAATCAAAAGTCATCAGAGCTTCTTTGGTTGCCTCCTGAATCATCTACATTCTGAAATTCAACGTCAATAACAATATTTTGTTCACAGCCAAATGTAGTATACATCTCACTGACTGTTAGTTTATGACAATAGCTGTTAGAGTAGCCAATTTTTAAAAAAAATTTGCTCTAAGTGGGAATAGTTTTATCTCTTAACTTGAATATTTAGAACACCCAGTAAAACTCACAGACTAATGATCAGTATAATCATGTCGGAGAGGGAACTGGACTAAATGAACATCTAACAAGAAAATAAACTTTCATGATTTGCATAGACTTGATCAGTTAATGACAGGAACATATGCATTGTGTGCATATGTTATGGAACAGAAAGAGCTGGTTTACCTGGCACTAGCAGAGCCAAACACTACACAGTGAGAATTTCAGTGGAGAATATTGGCTATTTTATTATGAATGATGCCACCCAGGAGAACAGGAAGCTAATTGACAAACGCTCAAACACCTCAATGGCAGGTAGGTTACAGATTATATAAATCAGGGTCATGCTCAGAGCATATTGGTGAGGTGAGGGTAATAAATCATTTCTTTAGGTCTTGAGGACAGCTCTGAAGTCTTGTCTTGTATCCCATTGTCTGGTCTCATGAGAAAGTAGCCAAAAAATTGTTCTACCTTAGGGCTCAGGAACTGCCAGAGGTTCTGACCCTGTGGTCATTAGCCAGTTCCAGGTTACTGTCTTTGCTGCCTCAGGAGTTGCTGATTATCTGTGAGAAAGGCTAGGTCTCTGAGAGGTATATATGTATGTGTGTGTGTGTGTGTGTGTGTGTGTGTGTGTGTGTGTGTGTGTAAGTAGAGAGAGGTGTATTCTATAGAGCTAGGATTAATGCTAAGTATAATCAAAGTCATAAGGACCCTAGGTTTCACATGAAGTTATTCTTGTGTGTAAAACCAGGATAAGTCTACCTGTGCCAATTCTACAAAAATAGAAAATATAAGAGTACATCAGAGATATTATGAGAAGAGAGAACCATTACTTTCATATAATAGTGAACGAGCCAATGAATAGAGTCTCTTTAAAATTAATAACACTTAAAAACAAAGACAAAAAATGAGAAATGCAAATGTATTGTTTTTAAAATTTTATTCTTTGAGTGTCCTAAAAACTGGGGTGCATACCCTTAGAAGAATGTCAGTTGCTTGGCTTGAAAAGCTTCATAGAGTTTCATGTGAAACTCAAAGGCAGAGCTCATGAATTGAGTTCAAAATAACATGAAAGAGTTCTAATAACTTTGAAAATGAGATATATACTGATTTCTTAATGTCTAATAAGATTTTAACCCATTCAACAGATGTATTTATAAAACCTTACTGTCCTGAGAACATGTTTACTGGCTAGAATATTTTTTACTCTTCTTTTTTCCTCCCAGTGTGTATAATGTGCAGTTAGTAACTGGGAATTTGAGTAACATCAAATACATGGGATTTTCATATTCTTACACTGTCATCTTATTTCAACTTTTATTAAAAGAGTTTGAGATTGTGTGTGTGTGGTTACTCCTCTGACTTAACTAATTTTGTTTAGGCCTTGACCTATGTAAATTCTTTATGAATTTATATAAAGAATTATTATTTTTTTATTTAACTGCACTGAAAGACTATGGAAGTTTCTGACAAATGAAAATGGAACACAGTTATCTTTCCTTTCTTATTTTAAAATCTTCACTGGAGGGAATTTTTTTCATTGCTTTTAGAAAGAGAGAAAGAGAAAGAGAGAAACATTAATCAGGGAACCAATCCGCAGCCTAGGTATGGGCCCTGACCGTGAATCAAGCCCGCAAACTTTGGGTGTGGGGACTATGATCCAACAAACTGATCCACACCAGCCAAGGCGACACTTATATATTTTTTTTACAAATCAGAAGCACTGTGCAGTTGAATGGAGATGACTTTGGGGGCCAAGAGGGAAAATTCTGCTTTTAGCTTACACCCTCCCTACCATAGAAAGTAGATACAAGCCCATGGCTCTATGAGCCTGCAGGGAGGAATTTGCATCTTTCCAGAGCCTGGCGGGGGGGGGGGGGGCTAATTTGTAAGAACCCCCTTTAGCTACAAGTGGTAGTATCTGTAGCAAAGTCTTACCTCTTGAGCAAAGTGTCAAACTTGTAGTCAAAAGCCTCTAAACTCACTCCTTGCTGTCAGATCTTGTATAAAATCACGTGTCAATTGAAATTATTTCCTTTTTTGTAAACTAAGTTTGTTTACTTAGTTACCTTTCCATCCAGGAGGCATATAACACCTCCTATTGTGCAAGGAATGGGGACAGCAAATGCAGAACTGCTGGCAGGGAGGAGGTCGCTGTCTAAAGAAATAGCTGCTGCAGCCGTCTTTGGAGTCGCAGACATTAAAACAACACACGTGACTTTGCTTTATGATCTCTAAAGCACCATGCAAATTCAAGGGGTTCTGACAACCAAAGGCAGCAAGTTAGGGCTCAAAGTTTAAACCACAAACATTTGTTAGGTTGAATATGAGAATAAAAGATAAGGCTAGTCAGCCCTGGAATGGTCACAGATTAGCTAGAATTTGCGAATTGGGATGCCCTTTGATTCTCCTCCTTTTAGCCATCAACCATTGAATATTTCTCTTCTCATTAACATCTGGCTAGGAGTGGAAGAGTGAAATGTTAATCAGCCAATCTGGCTAATTGTTAGCTGCTATGACCCTTTTTATTTACTTATTTATTTAGTTTGAAGTTGAGGTAGGGAAAAGCTGAAATCTTTTACTAAAATGTAGGCTATGGATTTTTATACTTCGTGTCACCTTCCCTTTCTTTTATTGAATAATTAAGTTCAGATATTTTGTTTTTAGTAAGGTATTGCAGTTAATTAAAAATCTAGAAATTCCTCTGTTCTCAAGTTTCAATACAACAACTTCATATTACATATTTCTTATTGGCTGCTGTTTGGAACATCTTCACATCCTTCAAGGAAGCTTCAGGATGTAATAGTTACAACTTTGAGCGTCGCCCTATATAAATAACTGCACTTGCCTAGTGGATTTAGACTAATGGGGAATGAAGGTGAAGAAAATGACTTAAGAGTACCCTCCCCTTTGTCTCTGCTAGACATTACAGGACCCTCCCCACACCAAATAAGGGGAAGAAGAATGTTCTAAGCATTAAGGGCACTAAGAATAAACCTGAGCTATCATGGATAAGATTACTTTCAACTTGTTATTTTATGTTTCCTGACATAGACCCCAAGATCTGTAATTATCTTAAGAAAACTGCCAGGGCTTAGACAGTACTTTTTAGTTCATTTGCCTTTTTTTGGGAGGGAGGGGGCCTGTGTCTCTTTGGGGCTGGGGAACTGGTGTGTGTGTGTGCATGTGTGTGTGCATGTGTGTGCGTGTGTGTGTGCGTGTGTGTGTGTTTCCCTAGTACCAAAGGGGAAAAAAAAAAGAAAAAGTGCAGAAGAGTACTAGGGAGATGAGGCTATTTTTATTCGAAGCTGATACTTCTGCATGAGCCACAAGTGCTGCTTGGAAAGGGCTCAGGTTGTTTCCAGGGGAAGAGCTCAGTGGAGACAAAGTTCAGCAAGACAACAAAGGAGCAGCAGAAACAGCCAGGAAAACGAAGAGCCCTCCCGGTCGTCCCACAGAACACCCCCATCAGAGTTCTCAAATCCTGCAGTGTTTTGCAAAGTGCCACTTGACCGGAACGTTTGGCCTGCCTTTTCCTTTCTGGAGCCACCATGACTGAGATTACTGCTGAAGGTATTGCTACCATTTTGCAATAGTATCAACTAGAAAATTAAAAAAGGTAGAAATTGACAGGCGCACTGACAATCAATGTGTTGACTAGACGTTAAAATGTTGTTTTTAATTAATTGGCTTGATCAAATTATTCTGTATGGGACCAGAGAAGTGGATTTGGGAACTGAGAGTGGACAGATCTGTGTGCTGAGGGAATGAGGTTTGTCTGAATTTTTGCATGTGGAAACTTCTTTGCTGTGCCAAAGTCCCCACTACTTACTAGTGTCACCCGCATCTCTATAAATAGCCATGGTCATGTATCACGGCTGGTATCTTACCTAGCACAAATTACAAGACTAGCAAGGATGGCAACCACTTGAACTTGAAATCTTACATTTAACGTTTAAACTTAGAAAATGATTTCAAGCATGTTGCCTAATAATATTTTAACATGAGAGCTTAATTTTTTTCCTTTCTAACCAGAGTGCATAAATATACACACACACATAGATTTGTATACAACTTAAAACATAAGCCCTCCTGCGAAGTTTGTTTATATTTTACTATTGCTGGATATTCAGATGTACAAGGTTTGGAATTGTACAAACTCATTATAGATCAATATGATTTTTTTTAAAAAGCAATTTAAAAGAAGCCAAATCTCACTTCTTTTTTACTTACTCATGTTTTTCCCCCCAAATGATAAATTCTATCTTTATATTAAAATATACATTTGCTCTTTCAATACTTATTCTGAAAAGGTACATGCTGTAAGTAAAGCATATAATTTTTATTATTTCACCATGGTAGTAATTGTTTTAGATGTGTAATATACATACAACATATGTATGTATGTAAACATACATATATGTATTATATTTTTTCTTAAAATAAAAAGATTCTTTAAAAGGACTAAGGCATGTTAAACCCGGTTCTAGCTGGGGTAAAAATCTGGGAGGTGGGTCTGAAACTTGCTTCTGACAGCTGTAAAAAATCAGACAGGTGGTGCTCTCGATGGCTTCCAAGTTGAAAGCTGTGCTGGTTTGTTTTTAATCAGACAACTGAAAAATAAAAAATGAGGGTAGACATTACTCTGGACACACAGTGATTTTAGAGTTGAGGATTTCTCTATATTTATAAGGAGAAATATCTTACTTGGACCTTCCATTGAGAAATTTAGTCTGGCACCCCAAATTAACAAAAACAATTACTGAGAAATTTCTAGGTATACCAGGTATTTTGCTCAGGACTTAATGTGTGTTTACTTATTTAAACCTCACACAATTCAATTAAGTAAGCATTATTATCTCCATTTTGCAGAAATAGAAATTGTAGCTCAGATGTTCGGTGACTTGCTCAAGACCACAATATTGCCAAGCTTAGAAGCCAGCTCCCTGAAACCTAGTTTATGTGTTCACTTTTCTGTAAGAGGATATCAGGTTTACTCTTCACCAATTTTAGTTGAGAATTTGCTAACTAAATATAAATAGCATTTTTCTATTTCTTAGATATTCTGAGTCATATGGCCTTTAGTTTGTCTTAAAGTGTGCTTCCTATAAAACTTCTTGCTTAGCCCTGCAGGAGTTATTAATATACCTTGGAGTATATTTCTCTATGTCTGCACAGGACTGCCAGCTGATTCAGGAGGTCACTTGGCCAGAACATTTTGGCTTGTCTATAGATTATGCTCTGTAGACCTTTACACTTAATTTATAAAACTTTTTACAGGAGAATTCCAGAGTATGAAATAGAACTTTTGCTTCTGTGGGAGAGTTTAAAGTGTTTATGGAAGACCTCCTGGAGTCACCCATTAAAATTCATTGAATCAGTAACAAATTAAAAATGTAAAAATGCTACCTAGCTCCCGGGTAACAGTCATTTCCTACTCTCTGGCCTTAACAGTTCATAGGATTTATGTCATTTAAACATCAATTTTGTGCTTTTATCATTTTCTAGAATGATTTATTAATCATATTTCTTAAATGATAGTTAGACTGCCAACTCCAATGAGCTTAACTTCTAAGGTTAGTGCCACAGTCATCCTCAGAGGTTATCTACCCAGCTTCTTGCATGCTGCTCTCCTATACCTTTTTCATCTTGTCTGCATGGTTCCTATTTGTTGTGTCTCATCCAGCCTTCTTTTAGAGGTGCACTTTTGTACACAGCCTCGGTGCACCCTGGGGCATTCTTTCTTCTCATCTTCTATATATTTTTTGCACCACTTTTGGACACATTACTGAAATGTATGCACTGCATTAGTAGCCTTGTGACATCTACTCTTCTGATTACTCTGATTCATTGATCACAAAGCAAGTAAACATCTTGTAGCACTTAAAAAGTTAGAGCTAAAGTAGCCCCTGAGAGAGTTGTAGTCCATTGTTAGCGCCTGACTTTTTGGAAACCTGAGGCTTATACAGCTATATGGCTCTCTCATAGTTGTTAATAATTAGAGGAGGTCTAAGGGTACAATTCACGTCTCCTTTGATTAATCCCAGTGCTTATTCAACCATAATGCAGGGCATGTCTCTACACTTGACTGAGTTCTTCATGTATATTTCCACTGCGTGCTCCAAGCTGGATTATTTCATGTGACAAAAGAAAGGAAATAATGCAACATATAGAATTGTCTTTTAGGTACATAGCAATAGATTAACTAGAACTAGGAAAAAGTTGAACCCCCAATGATTTTAGGAACATGACAGCTTTTAATTCTGGTCATGATAAATTAATAAAGATAATTATAATGACAATGACAGTAACAATTCTCATTTATTCAGAAGACATTATATATCAATCACAGTATGAAGCATGTTATATGATCATTTAATCCCCAGGATAGCCAAATGAAATAGATACTTTATTATTATTATTTATAGATAGGAACCTCAGGTTTAAAGATGTTAGAAATTTGCCTAAATTCACATGTATATATGTGGTATAGCTAGGATTCACACCCACATCTGTGATTATAGAATCATGTTGAATACTTCCTCTTGCTATTTGAAATTAATAGTTAGCCTGCTATTAATCTGGAGGCTAATGGGGGCCAACACTAAGCCCGTGTTCTGGTTTGGCCCATGCTACTTTGGGTAGGTTTAAGCTGGCCACAGACTGGATCAGACTCAAACAGCACTGAAGTTGAAGACTATAAATAACTTTCTATTTTCTTTCCAGAGGCTCAATTATTCCTAGACAAGTGCCAAAGTTAGTTCCCCTTCGGAGGTTCATATGAACTTTTAACCACCAATTTCAGCATCTATTTGACAGCATAAATCACTATGCAAAAATACCATTTGAACAATTTGATAATTAAGTGAAGTTTAATTAATTCTTAATAGCTTTGTTGAAAAAGTTGATTAAATATATAATATTTTCAAATTTCCAGTTAACTAATACATAGTCAAGCTATGCTTTACTATTGTAAAAGAACACAAACTTGTGTTCTTTGGGTGCAAGGATCCCCCAAATATAAGGGTATAAAATATTTACATAATGGATTCTAGTCAAAGAAGTCTATATATAATTAACTTAGCATTACTAAGACATTCAGCTGAGGAAAATTCCTTTTTTTAAAGTTGTAACATGTCATTCTCTCAACTTTTAAACTATTATACAATTTCAGGATTCAGGAGGAGGGCTATTTTACTATGCATGCATAGTCCAACCATATTTCACTGCCTCTTTAATAAACCTTTAAGAGAATTTCATAAATACTCATTTATTTCACATAATGCACTGCTTTGACAAAACCTATACATGAAAACTCACTGTCGCTCTCAAGGAAAGGTCAATAATTCACAGCCAGAGTAGTTAACAAGTATGTACACAAGTTATATCATCTAAGGCAACAGATCATGAAATTAAGAAAAGGAAGAGATCCAACTTACATACCTGTGTTTATCTTGCAAAAATCAAGAGCAGCTACTCTGGCCTGAGTGGAGATGAGTTGTGGGGAGGGTCAGGGGAGGAGAATAAAGCACCAGGTTCAAGTCTACTTAATTCCACGTTATGTTCAAGGAAAGCAATAGAATATCATTAAATCCCAGAACACATCTTGAAGTTGAAACTAATAAACCAGTGTATTTGGAGGAGAGCTGTGATGGTAAGAAGCACAGTTAAATGAAAAGACATGTGCACAGGCCATTCATGTACAAGACTGGAATTTTTTATTACATAACACTAGAGAAACCTTCAAAGACCCTTGGATAAAAGTCTGGGAACCACAATAAGGGAAACAGTTGGCAAAATGTAAAGGAAAACTTAATCAACCATTCAAATGATAGCTAGAACTAACAAAAAAATGAAAAAGGGAAAAGAAAGAAAAAGCAATGAAAGAAATATAGCCTCCAATTTTCAACAAATAGAGGGGTGATGAATGTGCTATACACTATACCATAACATGAAGTAAGCAAAACCTGGGTATGGGAGCCTACAGTGCAAACAACCCAGTTCCTTCAAATAAGTTACCAGGAACAAAAAGAGATGCCAAGGAAGCTTATAGATTAAAGGAAATGTAAAAGTAGAGCAACCCGTCACAATGTGTACAACTCTTAGTGATTTAAACAACCTTAAAAAAACTAATGAAATAATTGGAAATTTGACACAGTCTGGATATTAGATGATATTAATAAATTATGGTATTTTTAGTGGAAAATCATATCATGATTGTGCTTTAAAATTTATTTGGAAATTATGTTCAAATATATACTGATGAGATCATGCAATGTTTAGAATTGGTTTGTAAATAATATAGAAATGTAGAAATGTAGGTGGGATTATGGGCAGTATAAAATTGGCCATGAGTTAATTATGTTTGGACTGGTGATAGTATGTGGGGTTTTATTACAACATTGTCTACTTTTGTGAACATTTAAATATCTTTTTAATAAAGAATTAGAAAGAAAAAAGTTAATGCTTTTAGTAAGGGAAACCGGTTAATATGAATATTTTTTGTAATATATATGCAAGTTAATTCATTGACCACCAAATTTATTTACAAGTGCAAATTACTGTCTAAAATG